GTAACACGAAAAAAAGAAATTTTAAAAAAAGTTAAAAAAAACCCATCAATAATAATAATAATTAATAATAATGTGTTAATATAGAAATACTTCTTTCATCTATTCGGTATTCCGATTATTAAAACGGAAACTTATCAAATAGATACCAATACCGAACCATCGGAGTTGAAACCAATATTCTTCATTTTCCAAAGACGTAACATGAGAAATATGACCAGTAATCAGTGTCGTCAGATTAATGCCAGGGACGCTGATGGTAATAGGTACTCGAACAGAAATGCTGCTATTGTTTGCATTGGTGTTCCAAGTTAATAACGACCAGTCGATTCGTGCACGATCTAGTCGAATAGGTCCAAATGAGAACCATGGTGAATGTTGCCTATGATTCAATAAATGGCTCATTTCTTCACTTCTGAATGTTAATCTTATAACTGTACTACCGATCTCGATAGCAGCTATTGAAGTTTCAAGATCAGACAGTTGTTGGTTGTTACTCATTATTACACGCTCTTACTATATAATGCTTATATGTAACTTTAGTTACAATATTATGGCATGAGAAACTTCTCGTTTTGTAGAGAAGTCTATTGTCATATAACTCCGCTTCTCTTAATTTTGTAATAATATCGTCTGATGTTTATTTAGTTCGAACAAATTTCGTGATTTGAAAGAATAAGTTCAGAACTAAAGTGATGTCCTCCAACTAAAACTTATTGTACAAGAAAAATTTCATTCCATCAGATTTTCTGTGAGGTCAGGAATCGAACTCAGGTCTTCTTGTTTTGTAGATGGCTATTCTAGCCATTAAGCTAACGAGAATAGAATGGTTAGCTTTGTTATTTTAATCTATATAAGTTACGTAACAAATATAACATAAATAGAATGTGTAATAAATGCTCATAAGAAAAACAAATTTTTTTTCAACAAAATAATTCTAAATCTCACGGAAATCACGTGGCAAGACAGAATTATTAATTATAATATATTATATATATATAATTATATTATATATAATATATATTATTGGATAAATCTGATACGACGAAATTATTTTATTTTTAATTATTTTACACTTTCAGGGCGGACATGTATTTTTAATTTTTCCTGAAGCTATTATTGATGGAAATTATATGTATCTATATCATATGTTTTTATATTAAAAATACTGTAATATAATTGGCGTAGATATATATATATATAATTCTATGCGAAACATTATTATTTTACGCTTATCTAGAATATTTAACATTATCCACACTATATACTAAAAAAGTTAAAGCAAATATAGATCTGCTATAAAAATACGTTCCATTAGGTAGCAACTAAATTTTTAATATTCTCTATCGATTAATTATATGACAATATAATATATACTCGTATATTATTTAATTAATACATTTATAACTGATCAATTTTGCACTCTAAAAATCACTTTGTAGGATTATATACGAATGTTAAAAATGTAAGATATATTTGGAGAGTGATATTCTAATTCTAGACATCAAAACGATAAAAAAAATTCATATACACATATGTCTAATAAGACTTAATTAACGAGCATTTTAAGTTTGAATTAGATAAAGTGAGATAGTGAAAGAACGAGAACTGGATGCGCGGCAGTATTGCAATTTCGCTTGTGTAATACAGCTTCTTTGATGAAAGTAAATACAGTCATATCTTTTTATATATTTTTTTATATATAATTTTTATTTTTTATTAATTATTTTTCGCAAATACTTGAAAAATTATGGTTGAGTTATGACTATTTTGTATCAGAAAAATATTCTGTATAATGTTATATATAATGTATGTAATATATGTTATTTTATCCTGTATAAATTATTTAAAAATCATCAAAATTGATGAAATGTGAGTTTTTCTATATCATTATAAAGTAAAAATGTGAGAGCGTTTCCATTTCTTCCTCCACATCCCTATTTGCATATAATCTAAACTTAATTCAATGAATAAAAATATATCATAAATATTAAAAATATATTGATGTATATTGATAATATTGATAATATAATATATCAAATAATTTCATTCATTTTGTATAAGATAATCATATGTAAAGATCTGTAAGTATCTCTATATACTCGATATGAGAAAGGGAATCCAATGATATACATGTTTTTATGCGGAAACTTAGAGTTTTATTTAAATTAGATTAGATTAAATGATGAATTCGAGAGAGAAAATTCGAAAATTAAAAATATATAAAACTCAAATTATGCTCATTTAACTATTCATATTCAACAAATTCGTTAATTTTAAAATTGATATAAATAGAAAATTGAGATCTGTTGGTAAATTTTCTTCTATGTAAATCTAAATGAAATAAAATAAAAAAAAATTTGTTTTCTAATTTTCTATAGTTTCTACACAAAATTTTTCAGCATAGTTACATTTTTCTATTGATGTTGTAAATGATATTTTGTTTAGGAATCACTCACCTTGAATATAATGAAATCTAGCAAATATATTTTTGTAAATATTTTATAAATTAAGATAAAAAATTGAAAATGATCTACGAATTGGTCTAAGGAAATATATGTATAAAGAATATATGTATAAGAAAAAATTAAAATTAATAAAAATCATATTTTTGATGTCTTAAAATTATTGAAATTATGAGAATTAGTGAGATATATTGTTTTAAATAATTATCTTATAATCTTTGAATAATTATTTTGTAATCATTTCGTACATTTTTATCTAATTTTTATCTAAATACTTGAAAAATCTTGATTAATTTTATTTAATTTCTTTAATTTAAAGTTTTATAAAATTCGTTATTTTTTTCCTTTATTTTTTATTCGTTAATCATATGTTATAAAACTCGTTGTTATAATGAATCATAGAAACTATTCCAGTTTATCCTATTTAAAATATGATTCAATATTAATTCTTTTCAATGATTTCTATAGTTTTTAATCATATTGTTACAAACAGTTATATTTTTATATAATTTTAATTGTGTCAATTTTTGTTATCATCAATTGTAACTCATAAATTTAATTGATTGTAATGATTGTTAACATTCGTAATTGTTCGTAACATGATTTGTAATAATATATAATAAGTAAATATAAGATGATAGAATGATATTATACAATGATTCAGCATTATTATATTATTCACAACTGTCATTAGTAAAATTTTTTATGTTCCTTATGTGTTAAATTTCATTAAATATTGTTTGCAATTATTTATTTATTTTTTATTCTAAAAATTTTGCAAAAATAAAGGCTTTGCAAAATTATCTTACATTATCTATAATCAGTATAAAAAAATATAAATTTTATCTTCAATAATCATATACTCTATATATATTTCATATAATCATATACTTTATATATATATGTATATATATTTCTAACACTTCATTTATTCTATTTAAGTTTTGAATTCCTTTGACACGTTAATGTTAATTTTTTAAATTATACATCCAATATTCCAAGAAAACTTTTTTTTGTAGTTAACCATATGTTAAATAAAAATTGTTATTTCTTATATCATATATCTATATATCTTATATCATTATATTTTTTATTTTTTCTATTATCTCTTTCGTCACAGAGTATTGTAATATGCAATTCATATGCAATACTGATATGTTTAAATTATTATAATATAATCAAAAAGCAATGCATGTTTTACATATCTTAATGAAATTATTGAATAGACAAAATATTTTAAAATATTAAATTGTTTTTAAATTGTTCTTGCGTTATAGTATTGGAAAGCTTCTTTTTAAATTGTTTTTGAACAATTTTACTGAAATTCTTAGATTATATCTGAACGTTTATTCTACAAAAATTGTACCTTTTATATTCTTACAATGTTTCTTCTCTATATTTTCGTTTAAGAAAATTAGATGATGAATTTAAATTGCTTATTTTTCATAATATAAAGCAATGATTTTATCTTATGGAACACCATAGGAAAAACTGCAGTTGTTATATTTAAAAATTTTATCTTATGAAGTAAGAATGCATGCAAGAGATGTCACATGATGAGACTTGGCTTTGATAAAAGCTTGATCATGTGTTCTAGCAATGGCAATGGAAAGGTCACATATTCTCTTTCTGTGGAAATTTGCCGCAAGAGAATTGAGATACTTTAAGTATTAAAAGTGGATAGCATAGATAATTTTAGACCTGAGCTTAGAAAATATTTTCTTGTGAAATTTCTTACGTGCTTTATAATTTGTCTTTCACAAAAAATGTATTTCGCAAGAATATCTAGTTTCATGCATTTAAATGTTGAATATAAATTTGTCATATTGAACTATTTCCTTTTTTTTGTGATAATTCAATTTTGAGTTTCTTTTTTAGAATTCATAAGTTAATCAATGTCATAGATAATTTCACTATTAGACTTCTGTTTGAGATCAATAAAAAAAAACAAGAGTTTTGCGTAATTCTGTATCTTATATTATTAATATTGATTATCTAAGAATTTTTTTTTAATTTCTTTAGATCTACTGATTAATGTAAGTTGTATATTAATAAAATTTCACAGAAAGATTTTTCCTATTTCAGTTGGAAAATATAAAATTTTGCATTCTGAATTTTTAGCAGTTTTGTTATTTTTCGTGTGTATTAAAATTAGTTGATATTATTTTGATCTTTTATCTTAAATTCATTTTTATTACGATATTTTTTAATTATTTCTATATTTTTGAATTTTTATTAGTTTGAACTGATTTCTTGCCGAAAACTTTCTTTTGCGGAAATACATATGGATTAATTTTATTATCACGGTATTGATGGATTGTAAGTTTGTTTTGATGCATACTTAATCACTCGCTAAATATAGGATATTACCATACATCTAAATTATTTTATTTTGAAAAAAAACTGATATTACAATTTATTTGTTAATGATGGTGGCAAAGTTCATAAAAAGTAACAGATACAACTATACATTAAATTGCTGAAGTTACACATTTCGAGTATAAATTAAACATCTTAATCCTTTTGTAACTAGTCTTTCTTCACTCGATTCTCTCTGTGCATATTTATTAATTGATTTATTTGCAATTCAATATGGTATGTGTAAATAAATATTTTTTAATTCTTTTTCGATTTGTCATATTACTTTAATATTTTATGAAACAAATGTTTTGATTTAAAATTATATCTTTATTAACAAACTTATCGATATCTTCATAAATTTTTATTAGAGAATGAAATTTTAAACAACTTTTATATATGTATATATCGTTGAAAAATCTTAGTTTTCGATATATTTGCAAAAAATCTTAATATAATTTTTTTCTATAAAATTCTCAATTTTAAACGAAATTTCGTCAATATGTGTTCTATGATAAGAAGAAAAAAATATTATATAGAAATATAATAGGCCTTCAAACGCTTTATAAAAAAAGTTATTTAATATAAAAATTAAAATAGAATTCTTTATGTTTTGATTTCAAAATTGGATTCTTCGTTTCAAAAAAGTTTGGTACTTTTAGGAGATTGAGTTTGTTACTCTTCAATTCTTATTTACTCTTAATGATTCTTATTTTGTTTCGGTTCACTAAATGCATCATGAATTTCTTTGCATCAGTTCTTGCCTCTTGTATTTTAATTGATTATTGTATGATTATCATTTTTTGTTCTTCATAAATAAAATTCTGATTACGATTTCGCAAATATCTTCCTCGATCGATTCATCTCTCGTGATAATTTTTATATTTTTCGTTTTATATTAACTTTTTTAAAGCATTTGTAACCTATATTTATGCTTTTTTTTTCTTCCTTTTAGTCATAAAACATATTAACAAAATTTGCTCTTTTAAAACTGAAATATTTTGATTATATATACGATTGCAATAGCATATACATTAGCACGATCGTAAATTTTTTATTGTTTCTATAATAACAATGATTAGCGTCTAAAATATATAGCGAGTGAACTGATATCAGAAAGTTACTTCCTCATAGATTTTGATAACTTTAAAATATCTCAAGTTTAGTCTAGCGAACTTAGGAAAATTAAATATAAAATATATATTCTTAGACGACTAAAATCATAATAACCAAAGTTATGATGTATGTATGCATATGTACACGTACACATAGATAAATGAATAATGTCAAGTAATAATAATAAGTATTTTTATATTTTAAGTTGATGGATGGTTATAAGTATAAAAATTATTAAAAATTTCTTTCCATAATATATATAAAATCTATGAAAACGTTCATACATCGAACTCTTTTTCTTTTTTTTTTTTTATTATAAACAACATATCGATATATAATACGAAATATATGATGCAATATGTAAACGTTATTATTATAAGTATTTTTTGCTTTTTCAGATTCAATACAAACATTTTTTACTTATTTTGATTTTTGTCATCACAAAATGTAAAGGTAATCCAAAAATTTCATGGGACTCAAATATTATAAGTCAAAATTTAGATAAAATGATACTTGACAAAGAATATTTTGTAACATGTAATTATGAAGAAATTGTAAATTTGGAAGGACTTCAATTAAAGTATATACCAAGAGAATTTATTAAAAGTAAAACAATAGAAGCAATTTCATTACAGAATAATGAAATAAATGAAATCCCAAGTGATTTATTTCATAATACTCCAAATTTAAAGTGTTTAAATCTCGCAGAAAATAAAATTTTATTCAAACATTTTCAATTGGAACATGATCGTTTAAAAATATTAATTCTTGATTATCAAGCTGAAACAGAACCGAATGAAATATTCGTGATTCCGCAAGAAAATGAAACGAAAGTAAGATTTCCAAATTTGGAAACATTATCCTGGAGATATATTAAATACGATATTTTTAGTTCCACATTATTCCCAATGATAAAGAATATTTATTTATCTGATTCTAATTTGATATACGTAGCAAATAATATGACTCATCTTTTCCCGTATTTGAAAAATATTCATTTAGAAAATAACATGATTGAAGAATTAATTGCAGACGATTTTAGAAATGTAGAATCTTTATATTTGGATAAAAATCCTCTCAAACATCTATGGTTTAATATAGAACATACAAATTTAAAAATTCTCTCACTATCGAATTCTTTGAATGAGATAGATATTTCAAACATGAATATTCCATCATTAAAAACGCTAGATTTATCACAAAATCAGATTGGTTCTATACATGAACAAATGTTCAAAAATATGCCATTTTTAGAAGATTTAATTTTAAGTGAAAATGAATTATTAAAATTTCCAAATTTATTTTATTTAAATAATTTGAAAAGATTATCATTGGCTTACAATTTAATTAGCGAGATAGAAAATACAAGTTGGTTGAATTCTCTAAAAATATTAAATTTACAAGGAAATCGCATAAGTAATATCGACAAAATGGCATTTTTAAAACTTACAGAATTAGAATTTTTAGATATATCAAAAAACAAATTACAGTCATTATCATTAGATTGGCATGATAATTTATCAAAATTAAAATATCTCAATTTAGAGTCAAATTATTTTGTAAATATACAAGATATGAAACTCAATGCACTAATTAATTTACGACAACTTTACATTAAAAATAATTATATTGTATCTATAGATTCAAATACTTTACAAATTTTACCACATAAATGTACCATATATGTGCTTTGAACATCTAATTCCATTATTTATTTGGCAGTACTATAGATCATATAATATAATATAATTATATTATATTATTGCATTTATTGTAATATGTAATAATAATAAATAGTGTTACATGATCTTATTTGTAAATGTGATGCATTCGACGAATGTGTATAGTTATTTGTAATTGTTACTGTATTATTATTTGTAGTTTTTTTTATGAATGTAATATAATAATTAATAAATTTATAATAATATAATAAATTTTCCGAATCAATCAATCAGACTCTTCGTCTGCATTCCTTTCGTCTGCCATTTTATAAACAATATCTAATATATATTCGAACCTTTATGCCTTTTCTGTAGATTGTTAATATATTTGTATATTTGATGAATTGATTCTAAACAAAATATTAATAATATAAACATTAAAATGATATATTATGATATATAATATGATATATTGTACAAATGAGAAAAATGTCAGAGTAATTATTTGGAATAGAAAAATTTCTCATCAATTTCGATATTTTCGGTTGTGTTATTAAGAACATTGTTTTGTTGAACAATTATTTTCTAACAATTATGTTACTGCCGTTCAATTTTAATTTTTAAAATATTTGCAAAAAATATTAGTTCTATTGAATAAAATTTTGTCTATATATATGTTTTTGTCACAATATATCAATATACTTATTTATAAATTATCTATAAACATATTGTAACGTGCAAAAGCACAGTGAAAAAAAAACAATTTACTTAACTAAAAATCAATTTTTTAAAGTTTTTAAATAAATAAAATTGACTTAAAGAAAAATATTTATAACAAAACAATAACAAATAACAAATTCTATTTTTTTTGAAGCTTTTTTCTTTTTACGCTTAAACTTTAACTGATAAAAAATTTAATTAATTTAAATTACTTTAGATTAAATTAAATTAATAAAATAAAATTAAAGAAGCAATATTTTTTGTTATTTTTTAGATAATTAAATTTTTTTAGAATAAAATAATTAAATATAGCACAGAAATATTTATTTTAAATTAATTAATCTTTAACAATGTCTTCATATTATATAGATTTTATCAATAAAAATCATTCTATTATATTCTAGAATATATTCCATTTTATTCTATTCTATTCTTCTATCATCTATCTATTCTATTCTATATATCTCTGATCACTTTGCAAAAAATAATAATTAAGCTATTTTCAAGTAATATAAAAATTTAAGAAAATTATTTAGACCATGATGTAATAATAATTGATAATAAATTATTATATAACTAATGAAGAACATTTTTAATTTTATTAAAAATTATTAAAAAAAATATATTTGTTCAAAATTTATAGATTTTTAACTTATAAATTGAAATGTTTCTGATTATTTCATATGGCGACTTAAATCCATAAAATTGAAATTTAAAAACTAAAATAATTTTTGAACAATAATAATTATAATAATTGAAGTTAAAATAATAGTATACAATTAGTACTCATTATTGTAATTTCTATCGTCTAAGAATAGTTATATTTTATGTTAGCATTCCCATTTGAAATAGAAATATAAAACATGGTCGATTTCTATTAAATAAAAAAGTGAATATTATATATAAAATATGTTTGTTATTAGTGAAAAATAGTTAATGAAGAAATAAATATTATTTTTTTTCTCAACAATTCAATGAAACCAATTTTAAATTGGCTTCTATTATTATGTAAGTTTTTCCTGATGTGTACCTTTTGCAAAAAGTATTTAAAACATAATTTTATGATAAATAAACAATAAAACAATATCTAGTATAATGTACAACATTTAAATATTTGATAAACGTTTAAACTTCGATTATCACAGTCACATGTTTATATTTTTATTTATCATAATTTTATATAATATTATATAATTAATATAATACATAATTTTTGTACATAATTTTATATAAAATGAGAACGGAAGTTGTTGTGTGCAATAGTTTTTTCAACCTTGTGACTTGTGAGCAACGAAAGATAACTTTTGCAGAATGATATATGTTTAATTTTACTTCAAACTATTCAAACAAAATGACAAACAAACAATAACATTTGTATTTTTTTCTATTTTTTTTTCAACGTAATAAATATATTCAGTGACTCGAGTTAATATTAAAAAATCATGGATTATTGTTTTATATATTATTTATTTAATATATGAAAAAAATTTAGTTACATGAAACAAATGTAATGACATTGGAATATGTGGGAGAAAATTTTAGTTATACGTGTAAATGTATTGATCGACGTTAGTTTTTTAAGACAAATAAATTTGCAATGACATCACAAAAGATAATAAAAATGATAAGGACAATTCTTTTTAGATCTTAGTGGATCACTTTAACTAAATAAATACATATTGGACCAATTAATTGTAAATCAATTTGAATTTAACGCAGTATGTTTTTAACTAAATGAAATTTAAAAGAAGAGAAAAGATTCCTAAATATAAAATTTTAGATATTTATTAATTTTGGTATTAATAAGAAATTTTTGACATAATATATTGAATTCTGCCTATATGTCCTTGGTAATGTATGCTTCAGCATGCGACCGCTTATCTATTTCATATTTTTATAAATATATATGAGTGTCTAAAACTAATATAATAAGTAAATCGTTAACTTATTTCCTTATAGATTATTGGAAATTTTTCATGGATTATAATTACAATGATACTAAAAAATAATATTTATAACTTCAATTGTTCAAGAGTTGTTTTATATTTTATTTTCAAGTTTGGTATTAGATTTGAAATATTTTAAATTCATTATAATTCATGAAGAAATATGTTTTTTGATTAATCTACTCATTATATATTTTAGACACCTATGCATTATTTAGAGAAACAATCGATAAGCGATGCATTTATTGTTAAGAACATGCTTATATAAGCAAAATTCAATATATTATACTAAAAATTTTTTATTAATATCTCGCAAACTAATAAAAAATTGGAAGTTAAAATTTTATATTTACAACTCCTTCTTCTTCTCAAAATTTCAGTTCATTTCAGTTCAGTTTGACCAAGTATACTTATCTTTATTTGCTAATTTCTCAATATGAGTCAATAAGCTAATATATCCATTGTTTATACATTTGCTGATATTCGCCTACAAATTTTATTGATCATGAAGGACATCGAAATAATAATAATCTTTCTGTTATGTGATTGTAATCATTATTAATTATTTTTGAACATATAAATATTGGCTTATTAATCTTCTTTGATTTATTATCTTTTGACTTAGGGAACAAAGATGGACAAGATGAGCTATGACCAATGATGGCATATCTAATATTAATTAATTACTTACATGTTGGAATTAGTAACATAGCGTATATTCAAGCATATTGAACCAACATGTAGCGTAATTACGATCGCAAATTCAAGGAAATTTACTGCTGTAGTTTTAAATATTTAGATAAAATTGCAATAAAATTACTTTTTCACCAATTTTAATAATTTCTAAAATGTATAATAAATTTTCGTTTTTGTATTTTTTTTTTAAATCGAAATATTCATTGCTATTTATATATATTGCTAAATTAAAAAAACTTTCCTATTTGAAACATAAACATAAAAAATAAAAACTGACTAACGATAACAATTCTAAATATATTACTTTATATTATTTGTGTTATAGAAAAAAAATTTGTACAGTACGATTTCCTATAACACGATTCATACAACATATCATATAACGTATAAACTTGTTTATATAAGAACTTATACATTATAGAGGATGAGCTTCTAAACAACTCTTTCATGTATATATGTAACTGATGATTGGTTTTAATTTTCGAAATATTTGCAAAAAAATTAAGTAATTATATATAAAAGAGTCTCTTTATCGATTTTTTAATATATTATAGAGATAAATAAAAAAGATTTTAAACAACTTTTTCTAATACATATGTATAACTGCTGCTCAGCTTTAACTTTTAAGATAAAAATTACTACTACTACTTGGAACTTCTCTTACATGTATATATCCACGATTATATGTATGTAAGCATGCTATCGCTATTTATTTACAAACACATCGCGAGCATTCAAAATATATAATGGATGAATTGATCAAATAATATTATCAATAATATTATCAATCATATAATATTAAAAATTGCATATGTATAGAATTGAAAACATGATTTCAAAAATAATTTCAAGTCAATCTTTTTTCATTGGCTATATCGAATTAATATAAGATTTGAAAAATTCCACTAAAAGAATAGAAGAATAGAAGAAAGTAAATAGTAGTTATACTTGATATAGAAATGGAAATAGAGGAACTGAATTTTGTATTGTATTATATTATGTTAATAAGATCTTCAAGTTTCAAAATTTATAATATACTCTAGAAATTAATTTAATGCTAATATAGCGTGACTTACATGCAGAATTGCTAAATACTGGGACTATAATATTGCATGTTATTTTCTCACTCAACAAACTATTGTTTCTTATGATTCTTTTATATTGTTACTCTCTGACGTCACTAATAGCCATTTTGTCTCGATATTTGGCAACTCTGATTACACGTGTATGTTCCTGTTTTTGATTATTTTAATTCTTTTTAAAATATATACTATGTATTTGTGTATAAGTTTTATAATTTCATTTTTAAATTAAAAAAATGTTAATTTGCATAATAAAAAAATTAATACTATTGTAAATATAAAATTTTCTTAAGAACAAAGAAAACAAAAAAATTATTTTTCATATGTAAGTATTAATAATGATAATTTTTCACAATATTTGAAATTACGAATCTAGAATTCAATATAATTATATATACAGAAGTGTAATTTAAATTTTTTAAAATTCTTTTTAAAATTCTTTTAAAAAAATAAGAAATTCAATTGCTGTTGACTATTACTATTGGTTTATATGAACCATCTTTTCTTACACATGCTATGAAGCTTGTTATTTTATATTAGAAATATATAAATTTTGATGTATTTTTCTTACTGTATATAGTATTGAAACCA